AGGGGGGAATTTGGAGACCAATGGAGGATGGAGGGAAGGAGAAAGGAATTTGCAGAGAGAAAAAGAGGAAGAAAAGTTCTCCCCCAACAATGGGCTTGAGGGAATAGAAAGAATTCTATAGCTCTGGGTGCCCCTAGAATCCAAGTGGGGACTCGGTGAGGGGTCAGAATCTCAAAGAAGAAGAATCAGTGTGACCATGGAGATAATGTTACAGAGAACTGGAATAAATCAAGCAATGCTCGGAAAGTTTGGAGTCACACTTTATTCACTGGTGGGCTCAGAGAAAATGAATTCAAATTCTAAGCAGAGCTACAAGCAGAACTTCCCTTTTTATTAAAGAGCCATCCCTGTATGTGCTTAGTGGTTATCTCACTGGTGGCCTTGAAAACAACACAGTTGTAGCCAATTAAAAAATACACTTGGCATGGCATTGAGCGTATGGGCGTATCTAGTCCCTGGCCTACAAGGTCAGACAGCTAAGTTTACCAGAGTCAAGCAGGCTAAAGGTAAACTTAGCTGTCTGACTTTGTTTATTAGTCAAGCAGACTAAAGCAGGCTAGAAAGCAAAGTTATTATTTTAGAATAAGAGGCCATCTGAACAAAACAGCAGAGAATTCCAAATAGTAGTTTTACAAAATAAGGGTTAGCCTTCTCAATCAGACCATGGACAGTTGCACAAACGATTCCAGGCCCTGGGGTGGTAAGGAAGCAGCAAGGAAGTGGGCTGGGACAGTGGGGGTGTCAACAGTAGCCCCATGGGAACTGACCACTAAAGGATGGTAGTCACAGCACCACCCTTCGACTTGGCTTTTCACAAGGCAGTAGAGCTGGGAGCCCACAGTCAAAAAATCATTCATTTGATAGAAAATAAAGTTACGCAATGATGGTTGCACACCTGTGGTTTCAGGCTAATATAAATGTCTGCCATATCCACGTAGAGAAACAGATTAATTAGGCAACTTGCATTAAGATTCAATTTTAAAAAAATAAAATAAAAAGAACTGGATGAATCTACATGTGATGGAGAAACATGTCAATTTTAAATGACATCCTTGGTCTCAGGAAGAATGCTCATTAAAATCGTATTTTTCTGTTTCCAGAGTTACTTCCGCGATGCTCCTGCATAAATCTATCAAATGCCTGGGAGCCTTTGATGATGACCGGCATAAAATGAGAGCAATCACAACACGTGGGTTGCCCCTCACCCCCACCTCCCACCAGAGTTCTCTTGGGAAGTTGGAGCTGAGAATTGATACAGTATGCTTCCTTCCTTCAGATCAAGAGAGAGAAACTAAGAACTCTCAAGTGAAATTTCCTCTCAGATCATGATGAAGTTACTGGCTTTCTGTTGACATAAATTACGGAAGTTATCTCAATAGACAAAGCCTCATTTTCTCTGTGCTGCAGTTTTCATAATAGCAGCTGGATTTCTCAATGTAATTTTTCTTAAGGTCAAATTTTCTTTGCCAGGTGTCGTCAGTGATATGAAACTTGTCAGAACAAATCTCGGTATACCTTTATATTCTCGTATTATTCAATTCCCAGATTCTATCAGGAGAATAAACACGGAGAAAAACAATACACCACTAACAACGAAATACATATCTCAGGCTTCTCAGTACAGTGTCTGTGTAAAACAAAAAGAATACAACCCAAGGGAAAGAGACAGTTCCACCATTTATTCCAAGTACTATTGCTTTCTGGAAAATAATTACAGTTTTCACTGTGATTGATTTCCAGATTCTAGGACACCATTACTGTAAGATACACCCTAGATTTAATAAGCACTTTCAAAGGGGAAAAGAAACTCTATTAAGTACTTGTCAATTTAAAATGCACTCCAACTGAAGAAATGCTGAAATATGGAAAAGCATCCATCTTAGAATGAATGAAAAAACAACCATGGAGATTCAATTTTATAGCAATTCAGTTTTCAGTATTTCCCATGGAGGGATGGCCATGGTGATCCCATTTGGGACCAAGGGCAAGGTCACACAACTTGGGAATATGGAGTAACAGAAGAGCACTGTCTTGAAGTCTAGAAATAGTCCTGAAGGTAATGCAGGAATAGTATTTTTTAATATTTTTAATTGATTTCAGAGAGGGAGGAAGAGGAAGGGAGATATAGAAACATCAATAATGAGAGAGATAGAAACACCGATGACCGGCTGCCTCTGCCACACTGTGGAGTGAGCCCGCAACCCAGGCATGTGCCCTGACCGGGAATCAAACCATGACCTCCTGGTTCATAGGTGAATGCCCAACCCCTGAGCTATGCCAACCGGGCAAGAATAGTATTTTTTATCAGCTCTATTGAGGTGTAATGGACACACAATAAGCTGTACATATTGAAAGTGTACCCTTTGCTAAGGTTTGACATATATACACCCATGGATCCATTGTCACATTCAAGGTAGTGAACATATCCATCACCTCCACAGTTACCTGGTGTTCCTTTATAACCCCTCCCACCTGCCTCTCTCCGGACAATCCTGATCTATGTTCTGTCACTGTAGACTGGTTTTCATTTTCTAGAATTGTGTATAAATAAAATTATACAGAATATAGACTTTTTTTTTTTTTTTTTTGGTCTGGTTCTTTGTATTCAGCCAAAACTTTGAATTTTGACCACATTGTTGCATGTATCAAGAGTTCGTGTCATTTCATTACCAAATAGTATTCATCGTCTATACACTCACCAAGTTATGGACATTCCAGATGTTTTCACTTTTGAACTACTACAAATAAAGTACCTGTGAATATCGGTACAAGTATTTGTGAGGACATAGGCTTTCATTTCTCTTGTAAACATCTAGTAGGATGGCTAGATTATAGGGTAGATACATGTTTAACTTTTAAAGGAGCTGCCCAATTGTTCTCCTAAACATCCCCGACAGCATGTAGAAGAATTCCAGTTGCTCCCAGTCCTCAACAATCCTTGCTATGGTCAGTATTCTCATCATAGTCATTTAATTGTAACCATTCTAATAGGTGGATGGCGCCATTTTGATGTGGTTTTGATTTGCCTTCCCCTAGGGACTAACGATGGAACTACAACTTGTAGCAATGGGAGAAGCCTACACCTGTGCAGGAGGCCCAAAGGATCAGACAGTGATGCAAGAAGGAAACCAAGAAAATGGGGCATCACAGACGTCAACAGGAGAAACGACTCAAAAAGAGAGCGGTCAATAGGATCAAATGATACTAACGTGAAGATTGAAGGTTCTCTTTTGGATTTCAGCCTCTGCTGATTTTATCAAAAGATGTTCCAGGAGCAAATCAAGCTCTTTCTACATTTTCAGAATGGACACCATTGCTCTGCCTTGCTGGATGGCAGCTCTTTGGGTGTCTGAGTCCCAGCACCATGGGCCCCCTCTTCCAAGCCCCTGAGGTTAAAGCACCAGGTGGTACCCCTTCCAGCAGTTCTGGTTTCAGGGAAGGTCACAGGCCTTGTTTTCTGGGAAGCTGACTCTGAGGTTGAGATAAACATGCAGGTGGTGTATTAGGCAGTGGCCCCAGGATCATCACCTCTGAAAAGAAGGGAAAGAAGCAGGACCGGGCGAGGGAGAAGTTGGCTGGGATGCTGTCTCAACGCAGGGCTCAGCCAACGCTTACTAGGAGAATGGCCCATCAGCGCTGTCTCCACTGGTCACATCCTAATGGACCGGTCACTCGATGCCACTTGCTCCTGTCCTGCTTCACCGTAGACAGTGACCATGAGTTGTCGGCCAGCAGCACCGCAGCTCATCCCTTCAGCCTTGAAGCAGGATCTGGCAGCACTGAGTGTCCAGGACAAGGGGTTTCTCCTCCAAGTTCCTAGGTTCTACTCACCCCAACCTCTGCCCTCGGCCTCCCACCTAGGAGTGGAAGTCGTTCCCTGCAGTTGTATCTCTAAATTAGTTCAGAGCTTCCTTCGTGCTTCTGCATTCTCCAATACCTGTCTGAGCAATTCCTTCTACTAACTCTCTAGTGCAGTGGGTCTCAACCTTTCTAATGCCGCGACCCTTTAACAAATCATACCATAAATATCTGTTTTCTGATGGTCTTAGGCAACCCTGCTAGTGGTTCTCAACCTGTGGGTCACCTGAGACCATCGGAAAACACAGATATTGACAATTCGATTCATTAATAGTAGCAAAATTACAGTTATGAAGTAGCAACGAAAATAATTTTATGGTTGGGGGTCACCACAACATGAGGAACTGTATTAAAGGGTCAGGGCACTAGAAAGGTTGAGAACCACTGCTCTAGTGCTACACCTTTACTCCTAATTGATCTTACCTCCCCATCCCCTTCAAGGGGAACTCCAACGCCGGTAGAGAAGGGAGGAGAGGGCTAAGAAACCCGCACTTTGTGACTGATTCTGTGCCCGACTGACCAGGTTCCATATAACCCAGAAGGTTTGGTAAATAACAGCATCATGTTTTGCTCTCAGCTCATGCACACTCCCAGCGTCATCTGAAAAGACCAAAGTTTTGGCTCAGAAATCTGGACTGAAATAACCGGGAAACAGGCCCTCTGTGCCCTCCGTGTGTCTGCCCTGCAGGTGGGAACAGGCCTGACCCCTCTGAGCTCCTTCGAGCCCGCATGTAATCCATTGACCGTACGTCTGACACATTAATGCACTAAGTGGCTCCCTCGAGATCTGCAAATGTTGACACAGTCGCAGCCTGAGTGCCTGACTTCATGTAGAAGTGGCTCGTGGCTCCAGCTCGGGGATAATTGGCTTAAAAGCTGTATAGATGGGTATCAAAAGGGCAAGAAGGAATCCACAGTTTCGTCTCTCCATTTTTCAGACTGCACCAAGTCTGATTTTCAGCTAAGACCAACATGCTGACGGAAATACACAAACATGCCTCAGACTGAAATACACAAACAGGTTCATCGTGTGTCCATGACAACATGTCCATGCAGCCATGCTGGCATTGGGAGGCGTGGCTAACCCGGGCTTCCCTGGCTCCCACCACCAGGGCTGAGAAGGAATCCGAGTAGGACCCACGTCAGTGTTCAGAGCACGATTTATTAACACAGAAAGACTACGATTCACCTTATGACTCTCACAGGGGGCACTGAGACCCCGGGAAGCACCACTCATGTCATATACCATGAACTTGATGACAAGGAGGAAACAAAACACATCATTATTACCAAAAACTTCATACTGGTAACAACTCTTCCCCTTTCTCCCTCCCTCCCCCCCAAAAAACACAAAAAAACTAGTATTAAAGGCTTCCAATATACAAATCTAAAAATACGTTACAACATTTAACGTTAAGACTCAAGTTTCTCTTTTAAAATATACTGAGCATCTCTCCCTCCCCTGATTCTCTAATTAGGAGATGACGCCCTTTGCACTGTGTTTCTCCTAAACGTCTATCCTCTGTCCTTGAGCAGAACCGAGGGCTGGACAGGGGCCGGAGGCGGAGACCACGGGGCCTGCTCTGCAGCCCGCGCCTGCTGGCCCCGGACGTGGCCCTCGCTGCCAGGGGCCGCCTCCTTGCGCTCCTTCCCTGGGTTGGCTGCGCTAGTCTTTCCAGCGGTTTCGATCCAGGGGTGCTTAAGGACTTGGTGGGCCGTGTAGCGCTTTTTGGGGTCTACCACCAGCAACCGGCTCACCAGGTCTTTGGCAGCTGTCGGAGGGAGAGAAGGAGGAGGAAAATGAGATGAAGGCAGGTGGTTCTGAGTGTCTCTTCCCCATCCGGGAACTGAACCCAGACATCCCGTCAGCACCATGTGCCACCCTGGAGCAGCCTTGTCCAAGGGAACCTTCTGCGACCACAGAAACCCTTCGCCTCTGTGCTACTTGCTGGGACCACTGGGCATGTGAAATGTGGCTAGTGCGTCTAAGGAAATGAATGTGTATGGCTTTCGCTTCTAATTCGCTCACATTTACATTTACACTGAAGTAGCCCCATGTAGCTGGGGGATACCTGCTGGATAAGCAGCTTTACAGGGTGTTTGGTCATTTCTCCTGGCATCGCAGGCCAGGACCAGCCCAAGGGGACAAATAGAGGCCACATCTATCTACATGTTTTCCATCTGTTAACCAAACTATCAAGGTGTCAAATGAAAGATGTGCGTTCTTCCTTCCAACGTTGACAAATAGGCCTTCCTACTGACAACATTAAAGAACATGTACGAAGAAGCCTAAGAAGTCAACCGTGCAAATTCACAATTAATTTCCTTTTCTGCCCAATATCATGAATGATTCTGGAGAGAGTGGTAACACCTAGGGGGCCAGGGGGCAGGCAGGGAGGAGCAAAGATTTCTGGTTTTCCCAGACTAACTCTCTGAGCCTCCCCTCCAATCACTCCGGAATACCAGCATCACTCCCTCAGGTCCTCAAAGGACATAGACCAGTGGTTCTCAACCTTTCTAATGCAGCAACCCTTTCATACAGTTCCTCATGTTGTGGTGACCCCCAACCATAAAATTATTGTCATTGCTACTTCATAACTGTAATTTTGCTACTGTTATGAATCATAATGTAAATATCTGTGTTTTCCGATGGTCTTAGGCGACCCTGTGAAAGGGGTCGAGACCCACAGGTTGAAAACTGCTGCTGAAGAGCCTAAGACCATTGGAAAACACAGATATTTACATTACGACTCAATAACAGAAGCAAAACTACAGTTATGAAGTAGCCACGAAAATAATTTTATGGTTGGGGGTCACCACAACATGAGGAACTGTATTAAAGGGTCGAGGCATTAGGAAGGTTGAGAACCACTGAGTGATGTAGCAGAAAATAAAGGATGAAGCGAAACACGTGGACAGCCCACCTCTGTGCAGGTGCCGTAGGGGGCTCTGCACTCGCCTCACATGTCTGACCTGGAACCTGCTCACAGTCAGAACCCAGAGCGGCTCCAGCCCCGCATCCCCTCTTCCCTAGCGTGAGGCCCCAAATCTCACCCTCAGAGATGTTGTCCCAGTAAGGGGCCAGGAACTCGAAGTGGCCCAGCTGGATGATGTCGAAGAGCTCGTCCTGGTCCCTCTCCAGGCTGCGGAACGGGGGGAAGCCACACAGCAGGATATAGAGGATCACGCCGGCGGCCCACATGTCCACCTCCAGCCCGTAACCTGTGCAGCGGAGGCAGAGACACAAGCACAGCTGAGGCCAGGCTGGATCGGACGTGATGAGGTCAGCAGTGGAGCATCATGGGTGGGGTCACAGAGGGCCTCAGTGGTCTGCAAGCAAGAGCCTCTTCCAAACATGACTGCCAACTCGTACCTACACGGGGACCACTCCTACTAATGTGGGGGGACACACCAGGGTGACTCAACATGTGATCCTCAGACTCCGGCCACTGTGTGACCCTTTATTACTGGTCTGTCATAAAATAAGCACAGACATGGGAAGGAAACATTTGGAAACTCCTATTTGACATGGCTATGACATGACTATGACATCCAGTTGCATGCTCAAGGGACACACGATGAACAGGGTATAGATCATCAGTTCAGGGTTGTGTAACACACATGGTCAGTCACACTTGGCATGAGCTGCGACCCCTGATTTAGAAAGAGCTCTCATGCTTTGGTCAAGGAGAATAACTTCCAATATTCCCATTAAAACCTAAATGCCAGCTTAGCACCAACTCGAAGATCTTTGTTCCATACTGAAAGAATATGAAATATTAAAAAATGAAAACTTAATCAGTAAGTGAGCGAGAGTCCCACAGAGCAACGTGCCACACCTACCTTTCTCAGAAAGAATTTCGGGCGCTACATAAGTCGGGGTCCCGCACACAGTAAACACTGGTCTCACTACGTGCTTCGCAAGGCCAAAGTCAGCCAGCTTCAAGGTCATCGATTTGTCCTCATTCCTCTGAACCTGGAAGAAACCAAAATCCCCAAACCACCAAAATTGTGGTGAGAATAAAGAAGGAAAACTCATGCAATCACAAGCATAAGAGGTCAAGATCACAAACAATAAACCTGCACACCTTAGAGCAGAATGATGTTATAAATATCCAAATGGCCCTTAGCAAAAAAAAAAAGGTTTCCCATCCCTGCCCTGGGGGACTCGGGGGTACCCAGGTTGTGGGGCTCTCATTTTTAAACTCTCATTTAAAGACTTTTATTTCTAAAACAGACTGAGATGGCTGTCCTAGTTTGCACATAATAAATCTTTTAAAAAGTAATTCTACGGGACTGAGCTTTATGCTTACATATTAGAACTGACAAACTGGGTTCTAATTGTTAATATTTTTGCATGAAGGTAAAAGGAATGATTGATTTGCACAGAACTGTATGACTATTGACCCATATGCTTTCTTCACTCCCTTTTGTTTTCTTTTCTTTTAATATATTTTTATTGATATCAGAGAAGGAGAGAGAGAGAGAGAGAGAGAGAGAGAGAGAGAGAGAGAGAGAGAGAGAGAGAGAGAGAGAGAAAGAGGAACATCAATGATGAGAGAGAATCATCGCTTGGCTGCCTCCTGCATGCCCCCTCCTGAGAATCGAGCCTGGAACCCAGGCATGTGTCCTTGACTGGAATCGAACCCAGGACCCTTTAGTCCACAGGCCGAAACTACCCATTGAGCCAAACCAGATAGGACTTCCCTCCCTTTCCAGCCACATCAGAGCACCCTGCTTTTAATCAACTTAGTCTTTATTATTTACATAAGCACCTGGTAACATCTGGATGGTCTCACAGCTTCTAAAGGAGTCATTACTTTTCTAACAATTAGCCTCCCTTCTCTCCTTCAATGGCAGGTCAATGTTAAGGGTAATCTTGTTGTTATCACCTCTGAACAGAAGGGGCAGCAGAATACAGACCAAACAGCAAGAGTCTCCCTAAGAAAAAAGGTATTTGATGTGGGTACAGCTCATGTATCTTGGCCAAAGTCCTAGTTGACCCTGCAGGTTCCTCTGGCCTTTTCCTCCATGGTTCCCTGTTCAACTGGCTAGGAGGACCAAACTGATCATAGAAAGCAATTGACATCGGTATGCCTAAAATCAATTTACATTTCAACAGCAAAGATACTGTAATATTAAAAAATGGCTGGAAAAAAAAACAGTAAGGAAAAGTCTTCCCTGGGATCTGGCACATGTTAGGCCTTTGGAGCCTACATATCATGTCAATCTTTTTTAACATCTCATATCCATTCCACAAACATTAATTTCTGGCCAAGGCCCTAGAAATAGAGCAAATGAAACAGGTAAACTTCTTGATTTTATGAAACCCTCTTAATATTAAAAAAATATATATATATATTCAAAAAACATGTAATTTCACATAGTCATAAGTGTTATAAAAAAGAAAAAGTGGGATAAAGGCTATGTTGTCTCGAATGGTATCCACTAACTACTAACCACATTTGCTATTTATTTTTAAACTAGAGGCCCGACGCATAAAGATTTGTGCAAGAATGGGCCTTCCTTCCCCTGGCTGCAGGCACTGCCTCAGCTCCGGCTGGAGCCACCTTTCCACCTTCCCATGCTGCCCAGAGGCCCAGAGGCAGCTGGGATAGTGCAGAACGCCTGTGTAGTCGCCATGGCAATGATGCAAGCATCCCACCCCATCCCCAGCTGCTCCACACCTGTGTATGCAAATTTTAACCTGCCAGCTTTGTTGGGTTGATTTGCATACCCACTACTGATTGGCTGGTGGATGTCACACATCTATGGTCAATTTGCATCTTTCTCTTTTATTAGTATAGATTGCATCTTTCTCTTTTATTGGTGTAGATAATATGTAAAGTTCAAGTCAGACTCCCAAGGTATATTTCAAGTGCTCATATGGCTAGTGGCTACCATGCTCAGCACTGTAGATATAGGACAACTCCATTATCATAGGACATTCTATTGGACAGTGGCAGGGGGTGGTATTTCATAGGGTAGTTAAGGAAGGTTTGCTGAGAAAATAATATTTGAAAAAAATCATATTAAATCTGAGGAGTGAGCTTTTCGGGTGACAGAGATGGCAAGTGCAAAGGTCCTGGGGCATATTTGGCCCAATGAGGAACAGCCACAAAAGGCAGGGCTGGAATGAGTGAGGGGCGAGTGGTTGGAGTGAGGCTTTCAGAGTCCACATCATGCAGGGCCTCTAGGCCATGGAAATGAACTTTAGCCTCTATTCTGAGTGCCATGAGAAACCAACGACAGCTCTGACCAGAGGAGTTACAGGTTCTGATTTCCATTTGGAGAAGGCCAGTCAGGCTTCTGTGAGGAAGAAGGCTTCGGAGGAAGAGGAAGGACCAGTGAGGAGGTGACTGCCAGTCTCAGCAAGAGGTGACAGTGGCTTGGGCCTGGGTTTGGGCTTGGGCAGTGCAGTGAGGAACGGAGAAGATCATTCTGAGGGTAAAGAAAAGACTAGAGAATGGGACTGACTGTGAGGATGAGGGGAGAGAAGACTCAAAGGCACCTCTGACGTTCCTGACCCCCGAGCAGCGGGACAGCAGTGGCCCCATCTTTCTGACGGACCAGGGTGGTTTCGGTGCAGTGTGGGGAGGAGAGCCTGGCTGGAGCTCGGGAGAGAATGAAACGTGGAAAACAGCAAACGGTGAATAGAGACACCTCTTTCAAGGGTGTGCATGTGTAGATCATAAAAACGAGGCCGCAGCTGAAGGGGCCTGTGGAGAAAGCAAGGGTTTGTTTTTGCTCTAAGTTGGGGGGTATTGCAGTGCGTGTATTCCCATATGTGATGATAGACAGGAGGAAGGGAAAGCATCTGAGAGATGCCTTGCCCCATGGGCTGAGGAGGTCGATGGGTCTCCTTCCTTCCAGCCCTGTTTCCAGGCAGGAGCATGCCCCGTGTTGTCCCTTATTCTGGGACAGATACTCCCAAAGGCCCTGCTCCTGTCTGACATCTCTTCAGACTCCCCCCACACACGCTACTCGCTCCGCTTTCTTTGCTGGATGTAATTTCTTGGCTGTTGGCCATAACCAACCTGGCCTGTCCGCTTCCCATCCTGCGTGGGTGGTCTGGCCATCATCGCCTTTCCGGCTCCTGTTTGCTTCCTCCCCGCCTCCCAGGGCCGGGTCAGCACATCCCAGCCCCGCCCAGGAGTGCACACTGGCAGGAGAAGCAATTAACACTGACATTTCTGCCAGCAGGAAGTTCTCATAATTAAAACTTACTTTGCAAGGTCTCAGGAGTCTAAATAACCCGAAGGGGGAAAGAGGGCTAGCATCCTGTCAGGAAATGCAATCTGTAGAAATAAACTCAGTGATATAGGCCTAATTTTTTTATTCTAGAGCCCAATTATCAGATGTAAATATTTCTGTTGATTAAAACAAAAATAGCCGAAACAGGTTTGGCTCAGTGGATAGAGCCTCGGCCTGTGGACTGAAGGATTCCAGGTTCGATTCCGGTCAAGGGCATGTACCTTGGTTGCGGGCACATCCCCAGTAGGGGGTGGAGGCAGCTGATCAATGTTTCTCTCTCATTGGTGTTTCTAACTCTCTATCCCTCTCCCTTCCTCTCTGTAAAAAAAAAAAATAAATAAGATATATACTTTTTTTAAAAATAAATAAGCTTGCTGTCGTCATTAAGAGCTCTTGGAATATTCAGACAGTCTCTAAAAGCAGCAACAATGCGATCAGCCATGTAATCAAAAGTCAGTTCTCACCTAATCATTTTTCTAAGCTTAGCAAATGCAGGTCTTAATACGGACAGTAACGATCCATTCAAGGAAGAAACAATTGCTTTGATCATACAAAGCTCAACACCAGTGCAGAAGACTAAACTAGAGAACATTAACTGATGGACAGTTGTCATATTTACTCATATTAAACCTTAGAAGACCTAGCGAGTTTTCAGTATCATTATTGTATCAGCAAGTGTAGAGATGACAGCTTTCTAAACCCAGATAATGAGCCCACAGTTACATCCAACATAATCCAGATGTTTCTGAAACCAAATAGTGCTGACATTAGCTAGCATTTAGACTTCTAACACAGCAATAAGTTGAACTTGACTCACCCAGAAAAAAGGACAAATGGTTAATAAATATGACAGGTCTATTCGTTTTTATACATGCAAGCAGACAAAATTATCCACAGGGGAGAAGAGATGTTTATCTATGCCACATAAACAACTCTTGTGTTTAGAATGAGAAAGTATAGCGACTCTCCCATTTGCCTCTGTCTCTCTCTCAGCACACACACATACAACACACACACACACAACGCATACACACACGTCACAACCCTTCAGGGCACTGAAAACACTCTTACTGACAGTCCAACCCATGAAGAGTTGCTAAGCGGTTTCTCTGAGGCCGCGAGCTTACCCACACTAACCGTGTACCTTGCCGTTTTTGACTTCCTGAAGTGAACTCCTCCACACAATATTCACCAGTGCTCACTTTCCATTTTTAAAACTGCTGACAAGTAAGTCCCTCAACACCAGTGAGCGCCTCTATGGCCCAAGAGAGGGGCCAGCTCGACAGACTGGTTCCAGGACCTTGTGGAGAAAATGCAAGCTCAGGTGGCTGTCCCCGACAGAAAATGACCGTGTGAGGTCAATGATTTCATCCTGCATCCCAGAGAGCTTTTATAGCGCGGCCTCTGCTTTAGGAGGCACACGCCCAACTTGTCTGGCTCCTGAGACCAGCCCAGGTCTGTAAGCAGAGCCCCTCCTGCTGAGACAATTGGGGGGAACATCGGAGGGGCATTAAAGAACACTATTCTGTTGCCATTCCAAGGGGCCATATGAATAGCGGGTAGCACATCACACGTGGAGATTACACTCAGACCCAGAAGACGAACAAAAAGCAAGTGAAGGAAGGATGAGGGCACTCAGCTTGCACAAAATTGAAATTTTTCACAGAAGGGTTATTTGATGGTCATTCAGACCACATTTCTGTGAATTTGGACAAAAACAAGGTTACCTGACTGAGTGGTCAAGGTAGTTCTCATTTCACCAGATAATTAGAATGACTCGCTCATGGCTTCATTCTCCTGGGGCAGTGGTCGGCAAACTCATTAGCCAACAGAGCCAAATATCAACAGTACAATGATTGTCATTTCTTTTGAGAGCCCAATTTCTTAAACAACTTCTTCTAATGCCACTTCTTCAAAATAGACTCGCCCAGTCCGTGGTATTTTGTGGAAGATTCACACCTAAGGGGTCAAAGAGCCACATGTGGCTCACGATTTGCCAACCACTGTCCTGAGGGAACAGTTTATGGATAGATGAATGCATGAGGATGGTGTTTCCAGGCTGGGTCTACAGCCATGGAAATGAGAGGAAACAGGCTAAACCCCTGACCAAAAAAGTAAATCATAACAATATGGCTCATCAAGATCACCCTCTCCATCCACGATTGCTTTACCTGCAGCAATCCGGCTTTGAGTGCTGATCCACAATCCCCACCTTAACTTCAGAGTTATGCTCATGTCATAGCAACGATGGCAGCTGCCACTGATGGAATCCTCACTGCTTCTCAGGCAGCAGGATATGTCTGCATTCGTTCATTCATCCTACCAACATGTCATGAGCGTCCATCATGTGACAGAGCTGTTCTAGGTTTCGGGATACAATCTGAATAGAACGAAGTTCCTCCTGTCCTAAAACTTTCTTCCCAGTAAGAGAAAGGAACCAGAAGACTAAATACAGACAGTCCCAGTGGTGGCCAGGACAGTGAAGAAGAGAGTGGGTCAGTATGCTATCCTAAGGCCTCCAGGAGCACACTTCTGGTTCAGGAACGCGGTGGGCCTTCGGACTCGTGGCAACAGGGACCCAGCCACCTAAGAAAAGGGTGTTCAAGACACTTACCGCAGTACCTGGGCTGTGTTCTGTGATTAGGGAAAGGGATAAAAAATAAATAAATAAATAAATAAAAAATTTTTAAAAAGGCAGGATTTTGCTCTGAATCGTGTACTGTCAGGAAGAGGGAGTGACTCTATGACTGAGCATCATAGTGACTCTTAACTAGAAGGTGGGACGGATGAAGCAGCAGCCAGCAGCCAGAAGGGGGAGACATGGCCATGTCTGTGGTCTGAGGATCTTGTTTCTGTCTGCAGCTGGACATGATTAGCCAGGGGTCCTGCATTTGTCTTAACCTGGCTGTCGGCAAAATGCAGCTCTCGAGCCACATGCGGCTCTTTGGCCCCTTGAGTGTGGCTCTTCCACAAAATACCACTTGGGGGCGCGCACGTACGGTGCTATTGAAACTTCGGGGCCCACGCGCAGAAGTCAGTTTTCGGCCCGGGGTGAGTCTATGTTGAAGAAGTGGCGTTAGAACACTCAAGGGGCCAAAGAGGCGCATGTGGCTCTCGAGCTGAGGTTTGCCGACCACTGTCTTACCCCATCATGGGCAGGGTGCCTTAGCTGATGGTGTTCTGTGAAACTGTTTATTTCAGTGGGAGAGCACACTGTCTCCCGGGGGTGCCAGGCAGGCTGCCAGCTGTCAGGGCTGCTTCTCTCTCTCCTGCACTCAGTCCTTCCATCTTCCAAAGCAGGTACTGCTGTGTCATTTCTTTTTGAAAAATGAGAAACTAAGGCCCAGAGAGGGGAAGGACTCACCCTAAAGCAAGCAACTAAGAAAGCCAGGATTCTAAGTAGGTTATCTGATGAAACCTATAGAATTCTACTAACCAACATCACCCCAATAAATTCAATTTTTTTTTTTAAGTAAAGAATTGAGCCAAAACTGGTTTGGCTCAGTGGATAGAGCGTCAGCTTGCAGACTGAAAGGTCCCAGATTCTATTCCGGTCAGGGGCATGTACCTTAGTTGCGGGCACATCCCCAGTGGGGGGGGTGCAGGAGGCAGCTGACCGATGTTTCTCTCTTATCGATGTTTCTAGCTTTCTAACCCTCTCCTTTCCTCTCTGTAAAAAAAAATCAATAAAATATATTTTTTTAAGAAGTAAATAATTTTTTAAAAAGTCAGCTCTCTGACTCCAGGACCAACCAGCCGCTTATCCACTCCACCCCCAGGCCCCAGAATGGGAGCCTTTTGAACTCTCGTGGCAGGAAGTTACCTCCAAAAGGCTCAGGGGTGGTTTCAGCGGAAGAGAGGACACCAAGCCTGCAGCGCAAACGGCTACCAGCAGACACCCCAATGCCCACACTGGAGCTCATGCACATGCCCAAGAAACAAGTCCACCCCCTCAGTCCACCTGGCAGGGGTGAGGAAACATATCCCATTTTATTTACATTGGAAGGTTTCTTCTTCAAGAACCTCATCAAAACCCATCTGTGTCAGCACCTTATGAACTGCAACCTGGGTCTCACACACTGGCACACGTAGGTTAGAACCGCATAGTGGCGCTGTTCTGGCCGTCAGGGTGACAGCCCGGAGGCAGCAGAGTCAGGCTTACCAGCAGGTTTTCCGGCTTGAGGTCCCGGTGCACGATGTTCTTGTCGTGCATGTGCACGAGGGCCTTGCACAGGTCCGTGAGCATGAGGGCGGCGTCGCGCTCCGGGAACTTCACGTGCTCGATGATGGCGTCAAACAGGTCCCCGCCCTGCACGTACTCCATGATCAGGTAGATCTCCGCGTCCGTCTCGTACACTTCGTGCAGCTTCACTATGTTGGGGTGAGAGAGGCTCTGGATAATCAAGATCTCGCTGTCCACCATGTCCTCCTTGCCCTTGAGCTTGGCCTTGTCGATGATCTTCATGGCGTAGGCCTGCCCGGTCTCCCGGTGCCGGCACTCCTTCACCACGGCGAAGTTGCCGTCCCCGATGGCCCGGCCCGGCTCGTACTGCTTCTCCACGCTGGCCGAGATGATGCCCGCGGGCCGCCGCCTCCGGCCGCCTGGCCTCTCGGGCTTGCTCTCTTCTGCCCGCATCCTGGGCTCCTTTTCTACCCCGGCAGGCTGGTCATCTCTGGGAAGCATCTTCCTCCCGCCTGACACGGGCGGCTTCTTCTCCTTCTCTGCCTCCTGCTCCTCCCCCCGGGTCCTGGGGGGCTTCTCGGGGTCGGCTTGGGGCTCCCTGAGGATCCAGCCACCGTGCTTACTCCTGGCGTCTTTCTTCCCATCCCTCGGCCCCTCCTCTCGGACAGGCTGGGCTTCCGCCACAGTGACGTCCTTCTTAGCCTTGGCTGCTCCTCGCAGCTGACCTTCCTGACCTTTGGGATCTGTATCCTCTTTCTTGTCCGGGTTCTTGCTGGGTCTCGGCTCCTGAGTGGGGTTCCTGGGCCTGCTCCTGTGGCCTTCACCCTTCCACCCGTCCTCCCCGCCCGGAGGGTGGGTCTCGGGGGACCTCCTGCAGCTCCTGGTCCTCACCAGCTTGTCCACGTCGCGGCGCGGGCCCTTGCCCAGGTCCAGCTGGCTGGTGCCCAGGGACAGCCTCTCCCTCTGCAGGCCCTGCCGGAGCTCCCGCTCCCGCTTGCACTTCTCGCACCGGATGATCTCCCCCGAGGTCTTCTCGATCTCCACGCCCAGGTGCTTCTCCCCGCTGGCGAGCCTCTCCACGGTGGGCTTGCCGCCGGGCTCGGGCTCCCGGGTGCCCCTCACCCACGTCTTCTGGGCCCTCGCCCCGTCCTCCAGCCCCGGCTCCAGGGGGGTCTTCCCCAGCCGGGCGATGGCTGCCTTGGACCCGGCGGTCTCCCCGCAGCTCTTGGCCGGCTCGGCCTCCCCCGCACAGGGGGGCCCCCCTTTCAGAGTCTTGCTGTAGAGCCTGCTCCTGAGCCTCGGAGAAGCGACCCTGCTCTGCTGGCCCAGCGTCAGGGCCCGGGCTCTGCCGGGGTACAGCTCTTCCACGGCCGCCTGGATGTTCTTCAAGGTCAAGGGCTCCTTGCCCATGGCGATGAAGGCGTCCCCCTCCCGGAAGAAGTCGGAGACGCTGCGGATCTCCCTGCCCTTGAGGTTGAACAGCTTCCGCACGCGGTCGCTCTTCCACCGCGGGAAGCCCAGAGCCTCGGACACGTCGGCCAGGAGCTGCTCGAAGGTCTGCACGGAGCGCCTGTTGAGGAGCAGGGTGACCTTGCGCAGGGGGTGCCCGCCCGGCTTCACCACCGTCACCACCCGGGGCCTCGGGGCGCCGCTCTCGGCGTGGACGCAGTGCAGGCCGTGCTGGGGGCCGAACACGGGCACCAGGGAGCCACGGGGGCCCGGGCATGGCCTCTCCACGTGCCCCCGGCCGGCGGGCAGCCATGGGCCCTGCAGCTTCCGCTCCATGAGTCTCGAGCTCAGGTATCTGAGCGAGTGGTCACACGGGCCTCGATGTCCTGCGGAGGGAAAGAACAACGCAGTGTTAGTCAACGTGGGTTCCAGGAGCCCTTTGACCTTCAGCAAGGCTCTCCTTGCTGATTCTAAGGGTGACCTTGGAGGATCTGCTTGAAAGGATGGGGCCTTTGTACGATAGGTCTAATCGCTGTCTCCGCTGCAAGAGGCCATGAGTGTGGAACAGAATCTGCATTGGGCCTGAGGTGGCCCCTGTACGGCTCCCAGGGACCTCCCTCTCCCCCAGGTTGGACTACACCTCAGGAGCCCATTCTAGGCAAGGCCTGACCCTAAGAACACAACGTCTGCTTCCCTAAAGCGGAGTGTCCTTCAAGGATCCCCAACGGAGATAAAAGATCCGAGGTTTGCTCCCCAGGAAATACCAACCAGAGGTCAGAACATTCTGGAACTTTAAAGAACCTTACTCTTGCCAAAACCAGTTTGGCTCACGGGATAGAGTGTCGGCCTGCAGACTGAAAGGTCCCAGGTTCGATTCCGGTCAAGGGCATGTACCTTGGTTGTTAACCAGAAGGGGGTGTGCAGGAGGCAGCTGATCAATGTTTCTAATTATCCCTCTCCCTTCCTCTCTGTAAAAAAATCAATAAAATGTTTTGTGTGTTTTTTTTTAAGTACCTTAATCTCACCCACCTCAACTTTTCTCAGCTTGACTTTCAACCCACTCATGGAGAGGCACTCTGTGAAGAGGTTATGTCACAGTCTGAGACAGATCTGGCTTTGAATCCTGGCATGACCACTGACTGTGTGTGTGTGTGAACTTGGGCAAAGTACTAACATTTCACTCTTTTCATCTATGAAGTCGGGATGCTAACACTCTCCTCTCAGGACTATTTTGAAGCATAACTAACAAAATGAATACAATTTACTTAGAGGACTTAACACACAGGGCACAGTAACTGGCAGCTACTAATCCTGTCCACACTATCTCAATGATCTAATTGTATGGTCACTTCATTGGTAGTAACGTCATCTATTGAGAAGGTAGAATCCCACTGGGCACAGCTTCACCTGGCCTCACAGAGCTTCTAGACCCGTGGTCGGCAAACTGCAGCTCACTAGCCACATGCGGCTTTTCGGCCCCTTGAGTATGGCTCTTCCACAAAATACCACAGCCTGGGCGAGTCTATTTTGAAGAAGTGGTGTTAGAAGAAGTTTAAGTTTAAAAAATGTGGCTCTCAAAAGAAATTTCCATCATTGTACTGTTGATATTGGCTCTGTTGACTAATGAGTTTGCCAACCACTGTCCTAGACAAATAACAGGGTGGATATTTAAAGCTCTGATTGAGATTTTCTTGCTTTGGAGCGATTAAAAAAAAAATTGACAATTTCAGTCTACATTAGAAAGTTCTCCTCCAAAAGGTTTTTTTCTCTCATTATTAAAAAAAAAAAAAAAAAAAAAAAAAAAAAAAAAAAAGGGTGGGCGGACAAAGAAACCAAGATTGTTTAATGTTCAGAGCCTTTTGTTCATTCTCACTGTATTTCCAGATAAACTGAATAAATGGATAAACCAAGACTGTGTTTCCTGATCACCTGTCCCAGCCAGCATAAACGAGAGGAGACAAAAGGCGGTCTGATTTCCATTCCTCTCCAGGTCAGGAAAGGAAACAGGGAAATGACCAAATGTGTAGAGCAGTTCGACCATGAGGATGGGCGGGGAGTTACTCAAGTGTCCCCATAGGATCCCTTTGTCCTGTCCTACGTGTAGGAACCTGCCGTCTGCGCCTCCTTGAAAAAGAAGTTACAAGTGACTTTGAAGAGCATTTGAATTGTCGCAAAGACTCCCGTGGTGCCAGAATGGGCAATCTGACCGAGCATATTTACCCAGAACTTTTGTTTTTTGTTTTTTAATTATAACATCCAATCTGTTCTGCGATGATTTCCATCTAGACACAGGTGTCAGGGTGGATGACAAGTGGTGGCTGATACTGAGCTTCCCACGTGCCACAGATTTATGAGCTTAACCATCACGCTGACAGCGGCGCTACTTATGGGCATCTGCTATTCCCCTTCTTCTCTCACACTGTCGTCTGCCTCTGTAGTTTTCGGCGAGAGCTGGTGCTGAGAGAGGGGGCTGCAGGAGTAACACTAGTGTGTGCTTCCTCAATGGAAACATTGGAGGATGCCAAGGAAGGTGACCTTCCAAAATATGTGCTCAGAGGAACCAGTGTTCTCTTTTGGTTTTTTTGTTTGTTGTTTTTTGTTTTGTTTTGTTTTGTTTTGTTTTGATAAAGTATTCATCTCCTTTTTTTATAATATATTTTATTGGTGTGGGTTTTTTTTGTTTGTTTTTTTTTACAGAGAGGAAGAGAGAGGGATAGAGAGTTAGAAACATCGATGGGAGAGAATCATCGATCAGCTGCCTCTTGCACACCCCCTGCTGGGGATGTGCCCGCAACAAAGGTACATGCCCTTGACCAGAATCGAACCTGAGACCTTTCAGTCCATAGGCTGACGCTCTATCCATTGAGCCAAACCAGCTTCGGCGATGTGTTCTCATTTGTTATTCCCATGGTGCTTCTCAGAGGAAAACCCTCAACACAGCCTGGCATGTGGCTCAGTGGCTGAGCATCGACCTAGGATTCAGAAGGTCATGGTTCAATTCCCGGACAGGGCACATGCACGGGGTTCAGGGTGGGTGAGAGGGAGCAGTGTTTCAAAAGCCTGTGGGAGGCGCTGGGACCCGGGTGATGAGGTACAACAGAGTGAGCCACACAGGTCACAGGCCCCGGGGAGGAGCGGGCAATGTGGGCCCCTGACCACACACTGACAGCCAGGGAACAGCAAGGGGAGGGTCAGTGAGGAGTGACAGAATGACCAAGCAAGAACCACTGCACCTAAGCACAGGTGACATCCCGCCGCCGGCTGAGGTCCCGGGGTAGCAGTGCAACCACCGGGACTCCAAGCCGAACATGAATATTAACGTGGCCTCACTTGCTCCAAGGGCTGCCGAGGCCTCGGACATCCAATGGCCACGCAATCACAGTTCTCCCTGACGGCTTTCCTCCAACGGACCCTGCTTCCCACTTCCGATCACTCCAGCACACGGAGCCTCTATGCCCCCTCTTGCCCGCAGTCCCTGTGCCACTGTGGGGAGCTTCTCCGGATGCCACCCTGGCCCCGGTGTTGTCCTCCGGGACACCTGATGCCAGTCCTCTCTGCCCAAAGCTTCCCGGGGGGCAGCTTCTCTTGCCGTCTCCCCCCGGGGTTTACTGTTTCCTCCCCACACTCCCAGCTCACCCACGACCTCACTCCTGGGGAGCCGCCTCTCCCTCAGTAAAATTCCAAGCGGGCAGGACTCCCGACCGGCTGCTGCTTCCTATGCCCTGGATTTTCCATCCCAGCTGCCCATGGCGGCTCCGGGATCCACAATAACCTTGACTGAGGCTGAGCTTTGCTTTTCCCGGTGCTGTCCAGGTTGGCTCTTTGGACCCGCTCCTTCAGAAGGGGCGGTAAGGACACCCACCTGGGGCGAGTCTGCAGCGGACGGATGCCCGCAAGACTTCACCAAGGTTTCCTTTCTGCCCCCACTGACCTGTGTCACACAACATACAAGCACTGGACTAGCTGAGCTTCCCCACGATCCATCCATCCCCATAGGCGAGGCTGCAGAAATCACTCAAAAACCAAACTGAGCTCATCGATCTCATTTCTCCATCTTCGCGCCTTGGTTTGGGCAGACCTCAGACTGAGGTGAAGACCTTGGGAGTCTCTGAACCGTGTGCCGGTGCCGGGCCCTGAAACCTCTCACCCTCATGTGTCAGATGCTTATCTGAGGGGCAGGCAGACCCTACCCCCCTTACTGTTGTACAGAACAGAGAGGGCAAAGGGTCTGTGGTTTTTACATAATTTTGACTTCTTTTTAAAAATATATATATTTTGTTGATTTTTTTACAGAGAGGAACATTGTTAGAAACATCGATGAGAGAGAAACATTGATCAGCTGCCTCCTGCACACCCCCTACTGAGGATGTGCCGGCAACCAAGGTACACGCCCTTGACCGGAATCGAACCTTGGACCTTTCAGTCCGCAGATCGATGCTCTATCCACTGAGCCAAACAGGTCATGGCTGATTTTGACTTCTTGGCAAGACAACCTTCATGGCCTTGGCCAGTGGGGTTCAGTTGGCTGGAGTTATAGGGTCACTGGTTGGTTCAATTCCCGGTCAGCACCCACACTCAGGTTCCAGGTTCGACCGCTGGTTGGGGCAGAGTGTCCAGGAGGCAACCCATCACTGTTCGTCACATCAATGTTTCTCTCTCACATGGATGTTTCTCTCCCTCTTCCTCTCCCGCCCACTCTCTTCCCCCTCTCTCTCTTTCTCTCTAAAATCAATAAAAACATATCCTCCGGTGAGGATTAAAAAAACAAAAACAGCCGAGACCGGTTTGGCTCAATGGATAGAGGGACTAAAGGGTCCCGGGTTCGATTCCGGTCAAGGGCATGTACCTTGGTTGCGGGCATATCCCCAGTAGGGGGTGTGCAAGAGGCAGCTGATCGATGACTCGCTCTCATCGATGTTTCTAACTCTCTATCTCTTTCCCTTCCTCTCTGTACAGAATCAATAAAATGTATTTAGAAATAAATAAATAAATAAATAAATAAATAAATAAATAAAAGACAACCTTAACATACAACATAAAATTAAATAACAAGCAAATCTATGGGAGAGAAAATGTGTCCAAAAGATATATAACTTTTCATTCACATTCAGGAGAGAATACACATTTGAAAAACACGGAGCCTGTTTATGTAAAATAGGAATACGGGAATATTGTGAATAACTTTGTGCTAATAAATAAGACAACTTAAATGAAATGGATGGATTCCGTGAAAGATACATATTACCAAAGTTGACTCCAGGAGAAATAAATAGCTTCCCCTGTGCTATTTATCTGAGGTTTGGGTACCCTGAGGAAGAGCTTTGCATAAATATTCACGACATGGTCATTTATATGACTGATTGGATTCATGGGGGAAATTGCTTCTGTTGAAAAATGCACCCTTTGTAAATATCCTTCA